GGGTCCTGGTGTTTGGATTATTGGTGACTTCTGGCTCAAGGCTTTGCCGATAAATTCTAGGTCCATTTTTAATTAGACCATGTTATTTTATGATGTGGTTGTAGATGAGCAGGAGGACCTGGAATGTATCACCAAGATTTGGCTAAGTAAGAACAGTGACATTATTCTGTTGAAGATCTGTCCAGATTTCTACACCAGTTATAGGCTCAAGGCTGGCACAGGATGGCGATATTTATTTTATGGAATAACTTGCTGATCAAGTTCTGTTGTGCCTGAAATGGTGACATCTGAGTGGCTGCATGTTAAATTAAGCTGATAGAACAAGATGAATGTCCTAATGATATACTGACAATCCTGCTGACCGATTGATTTCTTTTCCAGGGTCCATGATCTATCTCTGGGTTGGTGTTGGTATCTGTTCACCTTTTACTATTGGGTGACTTTCAATTTCCATGCTTTGGGAGCTGGATTAGGAAAAGCTTCTCAGCACGTTGACTTCAAGGATGATTATAAGCTTGTCCCAAGTAACTCTAGCTTGATATATACGTGTGATCATATATTCAACCTTATGTTCACCTCAAAGCAATTGAATGGTGCTCCTGTGACTTTACTGACATAATTAGATTACTTCCTGGTCCAAATAAGATTAACTGCCATCTAGGAACTCTGCTTGGTGGGATTATTAAGAGGGTTCATTTTAGTGGATTTAGGGGATTTTTTGAAAGGAGCTTGAGGAAGTTTTCCACCATCTGACAAGCAGTTCTGCTGATTGACTGGTTGACTTCTCATTGCCAGAGGTGACTTAGGGTCTTGATGAAATGAAATTGTCCCTGAGTGGACTCTTTCTGTTCACTAATCCCACGGCTTGTCTGTGGTGTTTTTTTTTCTTTCTTTCTTTTCTTTCTTCTTTTTTGAGAATGTTTGGATGAAGTGCCAGAAACAACCATGAAGCACCACTACAGGAAATCCAAAAATGAATGTGATTGACCACTCAATCACAGTTCTGGCATGACAGGAGAAGCATTGTTACTTCTCCCTTATTACATTAACATGCTACCAGCCTTGTTTAGAATAATAAGCTCCCTCTTTGGAATGGCTATTAGGAAACATCTCTCATATGTTAGTTGTGACTATTTTGCTCATTTATTTGCCAAGAAAGTTACTTGGACTGGCCAGTCTTGACTTTGCTAGGCAGTCTGATAGCAGGATCTGTCCCATTTTACTAGCTGGGATTCTTATGGGCTGTGGACCTAAGTGGATGGGGCACTCTCCAGTACAACCCCTGACATTTACAGGTTTGACACATGCCCCTCTAGCTCTTACATGGAGGAAGGGAGGATGCGATAAAGGCTTTTGATAATTCATTATGGAATTGTGATACCAGCAGCTTGACTAGTCACTCTATTGAGTAAACTTTGTCAGACTTCAAGAAGTACATCCATCTTGATGCTATTAGATCTGTTGGCAGTTTTTGATATCACAAATGAAGGTGAATATACCTGTCCCAGGATACTGCAGGATCCAATCTGGGTTGGGCACTGGGACCAGAGGTGTTGTGTTCTGAGCTTTCGGACATGTGCTGGAGTCCATCCTCAGGGATCCTCAGGGAACTTCTCTGCTTTTGACATAATTCACTATAATATCTTCCTGGAGCACCTCAGCAGCTGGGAATCAGATGCACTGGGTTATAGTGGTTCTGCTTCTACTTTTGTGGAAGGAAATGGCAATGAATAGAATGATGAGGAAGACATTGGCCCAGCATTCTGTTTCTTGGGATCCTTATATGAAGCAATGGGGGGGGGAATTATTCAGCAGTTTGGGGTATACTTGAACATCCTGAGGATATTCAACTTTGGCTACCTTTTTAAAAACTTCACTGTTTCAGAAAGGAGTTTTGTCCCAGGCTTATCAAAATGTCCCCTAGGTCCTGGACTGTTGGGCTCTGGCTTGTACAAAACAGGCTGAAATCAAATCCTATGAAGATTGAGTTTCTGTTTGCTCATTCCAGTTTCCTGATAGCTTCAGTGTTATTTCTCAAAGAAATAACACTGCTTCTCAGGGAGCAGGTTTTCTGGAGTCTTCTTGGATTCACGACTACTACTAGATGGACAAGCAGAGGCCATACTCAGGAGAGCCTTTGTCCACCTTCAGCTGGTAAACCAGTTGCAGCTCTTACAGAAGTGGGAGCACCTGTCTACAGTGACCTTTGTCACCACATGATTAGATTTTTGCAATGCTCTCCATGAGGGACTACCTTTAAAGATCACTCAGAAAGTTCCATTGGTTCAAAAATCCAATATTATGCTAATATTATGGGTCCTGGTTACCAGGCACAAATCAAAGTTTTGATTTATAAAGCCCTCCATGGATTGGCATCTTAATACCTTCAGCGCTAACTGCCAACTCCAGTTCAAGCCTGAGCAGGAAGTGAAGGAGAATATCCTTCTAAGAGAAGTTACTTGTAATTTCCTGATTTTATGAAGTAAAGAGAAGATCAATCTAGCACATAATGTTTTTCATTGTTTATAGGGGTCCTAGGCTTGAGAATGGGAATAATAGGAACAAGCTTCTGGGAGGTTAGGAACACCTAACCTCCCATAGCTTCCTCCTAATAGTTTCCATTCTTAAATTCCATAGAACCTGGATACCCTGTATACATCCCACAGATTGCCCCCCTTGCTGTAGAGAGTAGCAATGGAATCTGAGAAGTATCTTTGTAGAGGGAATGTGGATATAATTGGCCAGGATTTGAACTTCACTTTACTTTCTTGTTAATTCTCTGTCTACCCCCCCCCGCCAGCTCACATAATACAGTTTATGCATTACTTGAATGTTAGACTGCACAAATGTTTTTGAACTGACTTTTTGTCCCTGGAGCTGTGTATTTTATGCCTGATTGCTTATTTAATAAACAAGTCCTGATGGCATCGGAGAGTAGTTCTATCTTTTCTAGTAGCATTGATGACTAAGCAACTTAACAGCAATTCTATCAAGACAGACTGGCCTAGCTTTAAGAAATTAATTTGCCAGATCTATCCCTTCTTTTTAAAGATGTAACCTTTGGATCAAAAACATATATATTAAATAAAATATATGCAAGGACTAGAATCTAAGGAGGCTGTTCTAGTTCAACTATTATGATTGATGTCAATTACTGATTGCATTCAAGAGAACACTTTAATACTTAATTCAGTGAGGCTGTTCTTTGTCAGTCCAATGATACATCTTGGAAGTGTAGCTTCTCGAAATACTAATTTGGAGGGAAACACTAGAAAGAAATTATTTTTCCATGGCTTCCGTTAACTATGCAATGGCACTTGGGTTACATTGTAGCCTTCCCCCAGGCCTTACTTTTTAGGAAGCACACAAAATATGCAAATACAGTATCTTCATTATAATANTTCTTTGTCAGTCCAATGATACATCTTGGAAGTGTAGCTTCTCGAAATACTAATTTGGAGGGAAACACTAGAAAGAAATTATTTTTCCATGGCTTCCGTTAACTATGCAATGGCACTTGGGTTACATTGTAGCCTTCCCCCAGGCCTTACTTTTTAGGAAGCACACAAAATATGCAAATACAGTATCTTCATTATAATACAGTACTTGAACAGTGCATGAATAAAATACTCGGTATTAAGATCTGCTCTGAGAGAGACAAAGAAGCCTGATACAGGACCAAAATACAATAGAATGCTGTTTTGCTTCTTTTTGTACAATTGTAAGACAATTGACCTTTGTTGTTGTTAATTGCGAAGTCGTGTCCGACCCATCGCGACCCCATGGACAACGTTCCTCCAGGTCTTCCTGTCCTCTACCATCTCCAGTGAGTCCTTCCTTCTCATTAGGTGGCCAAAGTATTTGAGTTTCAACTTCAGGATCTGGCCTTCTAAAGAGCAGTTGGGGTTGATCTCTTCTAGGACCGACTGGTTTGAACGCCTTGCAGTCCAAGGGACTCGCAGGAGTCTTCTCCAGCACCATAGTTCAAAGGCCTCAATTCTTTGTCGCTCAGCCTTTCTTATGGTCCAACTTTCACAGCCATACATTGCAACTGGGAAAACCATGGCCTTGACTATACGCACTTTTGTTGGCAGGGTGCCCATAGGTTAGTTTAATGAAACTAAGATGTGTTAGATTTTATGAATCACTTTAACTATCTATAGACCTTCTTTTTATCTTGACCTTGAGTAATGTCCCAGACTCTGCTTGGGTTGGGGTGAGTGATCTCTCTCTTTTTGTATGTTAATCAGATCAGTCGTTCTACTACTTTAAAACAAGTTATGAATTGAACAAAGTGATCAACAAAGTGTGACTTTAAAGGGCCATGGAAAACTGATATTAAATATAAAGGCAGAGTAACGTTTCTCCCACTTTGAACTCATGTCTGAAAGGGATCCTACAAATTGAACAGTAAGGTACTTCAGGGGTTATTCTTTTTTCTCCATTAAGCAAAGCAAGCAGGAGTAGCTAAACCGTACCAGGGAATCGTCGGCAGCATCCTACGTTCAACTGGGAAAAAAAAAGAAAGAAGCTTCCGAGGAAAAGCAAACTATTCATCTCCCTCCCGCTCTTGACTCCGCTTTGTGGGAGTGGGCTTGGCGACCAGCTGTCAATTTACCGCCAGAAAGATGAGGGCGGCGGGGCGCCTGAGGACTTTCTTTTCTCCCCAGGCGCCGTCCGAGCAATCCTCACCCCTGGTGCGGAGGGCAGGAATCGTGGCTTCCCTATCTCCTCCCTCTCCTCCTTCGTTCCCTCTCCCTTCAGCTGATCTGGAACAACTTGGTTAACCTCCCCGCTCCTTTTTTTTCCATGGAGGAGGAGAAAGCCCCCCCCTCCCGGCGCGGTCCCAGGTAATTATTAATAGCTCCGCGGGCAGGGCAAAGCAAGGAATAAAGTGGGGTTGCCGGGGGAGGGGGGGGGCGACGGCGGGAGAGAAGGCGGCCGGCAGGCACCGTCTCTTCTCACCCACATCTGCTCCTGGACGTCTCCCCGTCAGCGGAATGATTCCCGCCGCGACGTCGGGGCTGCCGTTCCTCGTCCTGGGAATGTTCCTTTGCCGCCCGCTAGCTGGAAAGCCAGGCCAGGGAGCGACCACTTGGTCTCGCTTCGCCCACCTGCCTTTCCCGGACGACGCGCTCTTTCTCTACGACACGTTCCCTCGGGGCTTCCTTTGGGGGGCCGGGAGCTCGGCGTATCAGGTGGAAGGCGCCTGGAACCGGGACGGCAAAGGGCCTTCGGTGCTGGACACCTTTGCGCACAGCCACGCGGCGTCTTTTCGAAACCCCGCCGAGCGACCCCTCGGCGACACGGCCAGCAGCAGCTACGACCACGTCGAGCGCGACCTGGACGCTCTGAGCGCCTTGGCGGTCTCCCACTACCGCTTCTCGCTAGCTTGGGCGCGCCTCCTACCTAACGGCACGGCGCCCGCCAATTTTGCCGGCTTGCGCTACTACGCGCGCCTGCTCTCCGGCCTGCGGCAGCGTGGCATCGAGCCCGTGGTCACCCTCTACCACTGGGACCTGCCCCAGGCCCTGCAGGACCTTTACGGCGGCTGGGAGAACCCGGTTCTCATCGAACTTTTCTTGGACTACGCCCAGTTCTGTTTCCAGCACTTTGGCCGCCAGGTGCGCTACTGGCTCACCATAGACAATCCTTATCTCGTGGCGTGGCATGGCTACGCCACGGGTAAGCTGCCCCCGGGTGTGCGAGGCGGGCTGGAGGTGGGCTACAAAGTGGCGCACAACCTCCTGAAGGTAAGGGTGGAGTACAGACAGGATCCTCAGCTTCTGTGGGCCTAATTGCTGTTCTTTGCTAAACATTGTTTCACTGAGCGCTTGTCCGAAGTAGCTGGCCGGATGCTGACTTGTATCCAGGATAATTAACGGTCGCCTTGAAAAGTATTCGGACTCCTATATTTTCATCCAGTACCTCTTGTTACTCAAGTTGGCTGAGAGTTGTGAGGAGTTGAAATCCAACAATTATGAGAGCACCAAGTTGGGGGAGATTGATCTTAATCTTAGAGCAGGGCTGTTCCAATTAATATTCCATTCCTGTGCCATTGTACTCGGAAGCAATTTCCAGTGTGCTTTGGTGGGGTTTTACTCCTAGCTAATATAGAGTTAAACGGTTAGACCTTGGCAGCAAATAAACAGTCTTGAGGCAGATTAAACATTAAGTTATTATAGTTTAATGTTACTAGACTATGGCAACATTTCACAAGTTGCCCCAGCTGTAGATTTAAACTCAAATGCTAAGATTTGCAATAAATGAACATTTGAATAAATTGCCATTTGACAGAAAACTTCAAATGGGAATGAACAGATACATAATAACATAATAGGAATAGACACAGATATTGAAAACCTTGCTTTACATGGAATAAATGCCTGGTTAATATGAATAGAAATGAGACACTTTCCTGGCATTTAACCCACTTGGTAGTGAAAATAAGTTGCAAGTTATCCTGCAGTAATCTAATAGGATTTTATCGGTACTCTTCACTCACTTATCAGCAAGAAGTTATGTAACAACTACAAAAAGCGTTATTGGTCACATTCTCTACACCAGTATTTCTTAATCTTCGCAGGTTTAAGATGAAACTCCCAGCTCCTTAAACTTGCAGAGGTCAGGAAACAGTTATCTATACCTTTGGGTTCCCATGAACTCATTTGACATTCCTGGATCCCTGAAACAAAGATCAGAGAGTTGAATTTAAAAAAAGAAAGCATCAGACAAAAAGTGTTTTCAGCACATACTGTAACTTACTGGGGAAAAATGCTTGAGTTTAGCGACAGCCTAGCTGGTTTGCTTAAGAGATATGTTTCATTGTAAATATAGCCCAAATAGATTCCACTGTGTTGAATGAAATTTATCCCATTAGCAACTAATGTTCTCAATCTCCAACCATTCAGTAATTATATCTGATTTTGCTTTGACGGTTTTATCTCAGTACAACATCTTAATTTAGCTTGTTAGTATTGTTGATCACTACTGTTTGCAACCTTCCAATCTATGTGTTTATATAAAGTTACAGTAGACACAGTTTTTATTTTAAAAGCTTTTTTTTTTAAAAAAAAAAATATGATGCAACAACAATCAATTTTGTCATTTCTTCTAGAAAGGTTTGAGGGAATGCTTTACATAAAACATGGCTTGAACATACCCACTTTTTTTTGTAATGGCAGTACTATATTTTTAAAAAAAGGAAAGTGGAGCTAATATATTTAACATTAAAAGTAATTCCAGTAATTAATTTAATGACTTGCCTACAACTACCTAAAATGGTCCTATTTTTGGTTTAGAGCAGGCATGTCAAACTCGCGACGTCATGTGACATTGCGTGATGTATCAGAGCTTTTTCGCCATTGCCGGCAATGGGGTGGGCGCGGCTCTGGTATGATGAAACCGGCCCATGGGCCGGCAGTTTGACACCCCTGGTTTAGAGAGTTTAAGAATGAGGATGCTGTGGCAAAGATGGTTGTATGCAATGTTCACAATATTAATGCAATATTAAATTGATCAGGCACAGAGATAACTTATTTTATTTAGATACATTTTCTAAAAAAAGAATTATTTCAGTAAATCCAACACCTTCACTTTTTGTTATCACTTCATCAATTTTATTTGCAAGGCCTTGGCATTCTGTATAATTTGAGGCCACATAATTCTTGTGAATTCTCCTATATATACTGGTGGGTTAGAATTTGTTTATTGCATCAGAGATTAGATTAATTACTCTGTTTCATGTAGCTTTTCAACCATAAGGCTTGATTAATGTGCCCAATGAAAGCAGTGAAATGAAACTGAGTTAAACAATGCCACATCTTGTCTTGTGCACGGAATAGTGACAAGTTCTTCACATAAATATATTATAGCAATATTTGTCGCTGATAAACTTTTGAGGTTAGAAGCTTTAATTATCAAAGATCAATGTCAAGAAAAGATGAACCCTTGGAAAAAAATGAGGCACAATCCTGTGCAAAGTTGTTCAGATTTAAGGACTGAACATAAGGAAGAGTTCGAGTATAGATTTTACACACAAAAAATGTTCCAACCAATAGTAACAGCTTTAGTTAAAAAAATGGATAACAGGTAAAAAACTTTTGCTTACAATTCTGATACAAATGCCTGTCAGTAAGAACTGGTTACACTAAACTCATAGCCTGGCAGGCAGGCTTATCTCAAAGTGAATGTGGGTACAAAGGAAGATTAATGTATGCTGTCTAGCAAATTCCTGGGCAGTTGCTGAAAATCATCAAGCAAAAATAAAAATAGCAAAAATGAGGCAGGCACCAATAAGATGTACTCTGTTCAAGAAGATATAAAAATAGGTTCATAAAGGGAACAATTCCTAACATACTAGTTATGTTTTCCATACTTAGTGTAGTCCTCGACTTATGACTATAATGGATCTGGGAACTTCGATCATAAGTCACGATGATTGTAAGTCAAGGCCCCCACATGACTGGACCCAATTTTATGACTTTTTTGTGGCAATTGTTAAGTGAATGCCATACTCAGTAAATGAATGCTTCAGTCGTTAAATAAATCCATGTATTCCTATGGGTGTATTTTACCAGAAATCAACAAAAAAAGTTGTAAATTGAGATAATGTGACTGTGGAACATTGCAGCCACCCATAAAGGCCAGTCAGTTGTCCAGTGTCCAAAATGCAGTTAGGTGACTACAAGTTGTATGTACAACTATTGAAACTATGGAACCGGTCATACATAACTTTTGGCAGGTCTGTCATAATTTTGAATGGTCGCTAAGGGACCTGTCATTAAGTGAAGACTACCTGTATATTTAGTTGGGTTCTCATGCCAACAGAACAGAAATCAGTGCAACAGATTCCACCTCCTTTTGGGTATTCCTTAAATTTGGCAGGATTATGAGGAATCTCCTAAGAGGCATACAATAGAATGTTTCGGGAAGAGAAAGAGAAGTTCAACAATAAAGTTTCTTTGAGTAGATTCACCTCCCATTGATCTCATGGATATATTTATGAGGCAACAGTACAGGACTGTTTTAACATTGCCTTCATCCAGGGTGCATTTTTGATTTCCCAGTCTAGCCTTGATCATTCTGTTTTTCTGTTTATGTCCCTTTTTATGTTCAATAGGAATGTAACATACTGTATGTTCCTATTGAACATATTTTTGATTCCCACTGCCTTTAAGGCAAGAGTTGTTAAGAATAAGGGAATTTTTTTTTATTTTTTTGATTTTTTTTCTCATGTCTCTTATTTGTTGTCTATCACATGCCTGTCAGATGTAAATAACCAGGAGAATTTGTTGAGTTCAAAGCACAGAAGAGTTTATTATTGCTACCTATATACAAGAATCTAGTGAATTAAGGGTCAAAGCTAAATTGGCTCTAAATTGCCTCTTGTGGCAACTCCAAACTGATGACATATTTAATCCCACCTTCCAGCTCAGCCTCGTCTTCTCCTACATATACATCCTCAATGTCAATTTTTCAACTTGCCTCTCTGATAACTTTTTTTCTTCCCCCCTCTCCCAGTTATTTTGCATATTCATAATATTTTCTACTTTGTTTTCAGTAAATTGTGCCATTTTTTCTTAACCTACTATATTAGCTGTTATAAATTTCCCACATGATAAGAAAATTTGCTGATACTTTTTATTAGAGATAGGTCAATACAATAATTACATTTATCGGTGACTGGAAACTACTTATTTTCTCTTTTTGCTGAAAAAAGAGAAAAATGAACTTGTGATTTATGGGTTTAAGGATTTGAAAGGGTAGCTTATGAAAAGAGTGAAATTATGATGTAACCTTGGAGAGAGAGAGTAAAATTTAATGCATTTACATCTGCTGTCAAAAAGATTAGGAGCTACTTCTTTATAATCCTTCCTTCCTTCTTGCCTGCCTGCCTTCCTCTTTTTCTTTTCTATTTCTTATTCTTCTTTCTTTTCTTTGTTTCTTTTCTAATATTTATATTGTTTTTATCTTGTTAAAAATTTCTTCAATAAAAATTATACCAAAATAATAATAACAAAAAAAGAAAATTGCTGATACTGATCCCAGGGTATAGTAGGAATATTTAAATGGCTATTTCCTGACACCTATATGGCTCTTTGGAATAGGAGAAGAACATTTATCCAAACCCTATTTAAATATGAGAGCCATTTTGTTAAAGGCTAAGAAGCTTTTACTCTTATTTGACTGCTGACCTTTCAATTATATTAAAGTTTCGTGATGATGAATCCAAAATATACAACTTTTCATACAATACAAGTATAATGAACCTATATATGCAACCTATAAATAATAGTGCTGTGGTTTGTCAAAATTTAGTATGTTCTGTTATTGGTGGAATGAGGTATAAATTGTCATTATTATTTAATTCTGAACTTCCTTCATCAGGTCATCTCAATAGACATCAGTTATCCTTTTGTGTTTTCTCATGGATAAATTCTTCCTTTGCAGTTGAGAGACATACATGCTACGTGATCCAGTTTGTGAGAACATCAATTTGCATTTAATTTTTCATAGAAAGTAAAGGCAGCTATTTAGATTTCATTCTTTGAACAGTGTCCTTAGTTTTTTTCTTACTGGTTAATATCACATGCAAACTCACTACTGAGTTTGTAGTGAAACCGATTACAGTTCTTAATTTCTTGAAGAAGACTGTAAATAGATACTAAGAGAGATTAGAGAGATATCTAGTTCACATGCTAAGTCATGATTTTTGTTAACAATAGTTTGCTGGAGTCACAGCTGTTTGGGTACAGATATTATGTTCATAGTTTATAAACCAGTAGCTGGTTTGTAAAAGCTTTACAAACTGCACATATTATAAACAAATTATGTTCATGGTTTAACATTACTTTGAACCCTCTGTACATTAAATAAATATGTAATGTATGTATTTTTTCTGTTATTATTTTTGAGTGATGTGGACAACTGTATAGGTTTAGAAGTAGTATGGAAACTAGAAGTATTTTCTCCTTCGCCTCCTACTTTGGCCTTGATTAGATGTCCATGTGCCTGCTGTTTATCTTGCCAAATGTGATATATTTCAATAAATAATTTAAGATTAGGGTTATATGTACATGCTAGCAATCTGGATTAATTGGGGGGAAGGTGGAAAAGAGATAAAAAAAATTTTCTTCCTTGGACCTCAATGTAGTTCAGGTTTCTACATTATCCTTCAGTTTACCCTCATGGGATAAATAACATCATGCAAAGTGCAGAAATTGTTAGAAGAAAAAGAGTATGAGTATGAATATAAATATAAATAAGAATATGAATTGGAGTAAAAGCCATTTGGGCATAGTAATTGATTCTGATATTGAGTTTGGAACACTTTAATTGCAGGTGCCATTGTTTAATTATGATGATGTTTGTTTTCAGTTGTCATTTACAGCTTTTGTCTGCATAACTGTTTTTTGTTTAATTCTGTGTATAGACAGTCTGCTGCCATGTGATTTATTATTTTTAATTTTGTTGATGGCCCTTACATCATTTCAAATGGATGCTATGGTGTGAGGCCTTGCTTTGACCCTTACACTTTAGTAGAGAGGGATGAAATATTTCAGGCCAACGTTCAGAATTGTGGTGAACTTTTCTGTTCATGTTAGCAGAATAGAGCTGGTATTTTCCTCCAATTCCCACCCAGCTTTTAAAGTCATAGAACCCAATTCATTTTGCTGTGGTCACTTAGACATTGCCATGGCCTCAATTGTTGATTAGTCGTTAACATAATTCTGTTGGACCATATAAATAAAATATAAGAATATTAACAGCTACAGAACCATTGGTTCACTAGTGTATTTCTTTCTTTTCTATAGGCCCATGCCAAGGTGTGGCATCTTTATAATGACAATTTTCGTCCTGCTCAAAAAGGTCAAGTATCAATTGCTTTAAGTTCTCACTGGATAAAACCTAAAAACATGGCTGAAAAGAATATAAAAAGATGTCAGAAATCTCTTGACTTTGTGCTGGGCTGGTTTGCTAAGCCTATATTTATTGATGGAGACTATCCTCAGAGTATGAAACATTACCTTTCCTTGACATTACCAAAATTCACTGATGCAGAAAAGAACTTAATCAGAGGGACAGCTGATTTCTTTGCTCTTTCTTTTGGAGCCACATTAAGTTTTCGTTTTGTGGAGCCAGACATGCTGTTCCAACAGAAGAAATCACTGAACCTGAGGCAGCTACTTTACTGGATAAGCAGGGAATATAATCCGTCACAGATCTTCATTGTGGAAAATAGTTGGTTGGTTTCTGGAAGTATAAAGACAGATGACTCCAATTATATGTATTACCTTAAAAATTTCATAATGGACACATTAAAAGGTAAGGTTACTTTTGGCATTCTAGTCAAGATATATTAAACCATTTATAATGTTTAAGAGAAGCATTTTTCTTATGTCAATTAAATAAGTTCTATTTGAACATTAATGAACTAGCATTTCCATCCAAGTATTGCACATCCAAGCAACTTCATCAGTAAAAAAAATAGGCAGAATGTTGTTGGAAGGTACACACTGGTAGACATTGGTGTGCCAACTCTTGCCACACCAAATTCAGGGGTTTCTCTCCAAATTGTATTGCAATATGTCAATGAAGACTCAATAACACTCAGTATGCAGTTGTGCTTCAGTTACGTATATCCAGGGCTTTTTTTGTCATAGAACACCCAGAACGGAGTTCTGACACCTTTTTTTGGATGGAACCTTGTAGGGTAGGCAAGGCGGGTTGTATGACATGTATGAGTTCCGGCATCTTTTTTTTTTTTTTTTTTTTACAAAAAAAGCACTGCGTATATCTCTATTTATACTTCTTTGAAAATGAACTAAAGTGTTGGTAAAAGCATCAGGAGGAAAAATTATTTTTTTATTTTCAAATAACAGTTAATCTATATCATTTCCCTGGGGAAAATTGAGTTTTCCTGGTGTCAGGTTGTATTAATTTTACATAAAATGTTCTTATTTTTGTAAATAATTGCTAAATTGTGGTATGTTTATAATTCTAAATCCAATTAACACTTGTTTACTATTACAGTTTATATCTTGCAAACTTACAATAAAACAGACAAGACATATATGTGCACACTACTTTGTGTGTACTTTAGATATTATAGTAGGGGAATTGCAAGAAAAGAGTTTATCTTTAAAAAGGTAGGGAAACCACGTCTGCATATATTGCATCTCTGTTTCTGCTGTCTTGAATCATTTCCATAGTAATGACTTACAGCATCTTCCTAGTATCACCCAGCCATTGTTGAAATGATATTATCGTGGTAAAGCCTACCCATATTTTGAATTCAATATTTCTTTTGTTGTTTTCTGCCAGCCCATCAAGTTTGCTTCCATTCTGTTTTTTTTTTTATTCTAGCGTATTTAATCCTCCAGCTGTTTTTGAACTGCAATTCCAAAATCTTCTGGAAGAGTCTATTTAAACCAAAGTCTTTTCTGCAAAACAGATGTAACTGTTCAGAAGTGTACAGTGTTTATTACACAGGGAAATTAGTTCTGTATTTATTGTTTATTCTTCAGCTATCAGATATGATGGAGTTACGGTGATGGGATATACAGCTTGGTCCCTTATGGATGGCTTTGAATGGGACAAAAGCTACATTCGACGGGGTTTATTTTACGTTGATTTTCAAAGCCAGGATAAAAAAATGATAATGAAATCTTCAGGTTTGTTTTACCAAAAGTTGATTCAAGACAATGGTTTCCTCTCAACACCAGAAACCCAACCTTTTAAAGGAACGTTCCCCTGTAATTTTGTTTGGGGGGTCACAGAAAGCTTTCTTCAGGTAAGACCATTGAGAAACCAAATGAGATTTTCTAGTCTTTCTTTAGTGTTATTAGATGATAGTTTTGTCTGATTCAATACAAGCATTTTATGATCATACCAATTTGATGGAATTCTCTGATAAAGTTCTTTGTAAGGAACAAATGTCTGTTTCACATGGAAAATATACACATCTAGAGATCAACTACAAAATGTATTATCTTTCAGGTTTTGTTACTTCACTACTCTACATATTTGTATTTGTAAACTGCCCATGTCATATAAGTATGATGGCTGGTATATAAATTTGATTGATTGATTGATTGATAAACAAACAAACAAACAAATAAATAAATAAATAAATAAATGACAATAAAATTTTCCCTATAGTAGGTAGTAGATCTATTGGTAGAAATAGGAATACTCAGAGTTGGTCCTAAGTTAGCAAAAAAAAAAAAAGATCACCATTTTCAGTTATCTTTGTGATAATATTGGTTGGTTGCTTTTTCTGTTTGTGACAGAGTTAATTCCTTTCTCTCTCTCTCTTTCTAGATAGATCCAACACGATCTCAGTTTCTAAACCCTAATATTTATATATGGGGAGTTCACCAAACCAAGGATCTCATTAAAATTAATGGAAGTGGTGTTCTGAAACGCAAGCCTCACTGTGTTGATTTTTCTCATGTCAGACTCCAAATTTCTTTACTTCAAAAAATGCATATCACACACTTTCATTTTTCACTAGTGTGGTCTTTGATCCTTCCTCTAGGCAATCAGGCAAATGTAAACCAAACACTTCTATTTTACTATCAGTGTTTTGTCAACGAACTCATCAGAGTTAATATCACTCCTGTAGTTGCTTTGTGGCAACCTGAGGCTAAGAATCAAGGGCTCCCTTTTTCACTGGCCAACAATGGAGGATGGGAGAGCCAACATACTGTGGAAGCTTTTGTTGAGTATGCTCAGTTCTGTTTTAAAAACTTTGGACATCATGTCAAATTTTGGATCACCATGAATGAACCCGATGTGAAGAACCTGACATATAAAGCTGCACATAATCTCTTGAAAGCTCATGCCAAAGCATGGCACTTGTATGATAAAAAATTCAGAAAGATTCAAAATGGTAAAATATCAATTGCCTTACATGCTGACTGGGTTGAGCCTGCCTGTCCCCTTTCAAAAAAGGATGAGGAAGCAGCCAGGCGAGTTTTGGAATTTGACATTGGCTGGCTGGCAGAGCCAATTTTCGGGTCTGGTGACTATCCAGAAGTGATGCGACAGTGGCTTCACCAAAAAAATCATCTAGGTTTTTATAATTTTCAATTACCTTATTTCTCAGCAGAGGAAAGGAATCTAATATATGGCTCCTTTGACTTCTTTGCTCTGAGTCACTATACCACAACTCTTGTCGGTTCCGAAAAAGACATTCCCAAAAAGTATGATGACCATCTTGATACCCAAATAGTAAAAGATTTAACTTGGCTGGAATCACCCAGCCAAGTTCCAGTGGTGCCCTGGGGACTAAGGAAACTTCTCAATTGGATTAAACATAAATATGGCAATATCCCAATTTATATTTTAGCCAGTGGAATCAATGATGAGAAGAATGAGTCTCATGACAAGTTAAGGATATATTACCTGGAGAAGTATATTAACGAAGCCTTAAAAGGTAAGGATCTTATGGAAAAACATTCATACTTTAATAACCATGTGTTTTGCTGCATTGGAACAATGTGTGTGTGAAAGACAGAAAAATATACTAGCACTGGGGTTTCAGATTATAAAGTTAATAAAAACTAAGGGTGTACAGTGGCTTGAAGGCAAGGAATTCCAGGGCACATGGGTGCAAACAAAACCTATCTGCAAATCCTTAAACCAAACATGTTTTCTAGGATCATATGCTTGGAATAACATATGCTTGGAATAATTTCAGAACCAAAGAGTAGCAAGGCCTATTGAAAATTTAGTTTTAACAAATACAAAGCAGGGTGAAAATGTTTGTGTCTGAGAAAAAATAGAATTTTTTTTGCTGCAGTCTTTCCCTGAAAATAAGACCCAGTCTTATTTTTTCTTTTTTCTTTGCCTTCAAAAGAAGCACCAGGTCTTATTTTTGGTGGGTGTGTTTTCCACTCACCTCGTGGTAGCAGCACTGACAGCCCCACCCAGCAGGCCTACTTATTCTGCAGCTGAAGGAACATCTTCATTCTGCAGCTGAGAATGGCACTCCAGCCGAGAACTTAGCTACGGATTGAATCCATAGCTCAGTTCTTGGCTGCAGAGGCCATCCAGAAAGGCCTCTGACTACGAAATGCAGCGTGGGGGATGCTGCAGAAGTGGGCTGGCAAGGAGAGGCAGGTGTTTATTCATGGGAGGCCTGGTAAGCTCCACTCCCCCTGCCCTATCTTGATTTTTAGGCATGTACCTCACCCCAAAACTAGGGCTTATTTTTAGGGTAGGGCTTATATTAGGCCGAAACCCCCAAATCAAGCTAGGTCTTATTTTCGGGGTAGGTCTTACTTTCAGGGAAACACAGTATAAAACCTTTGACTCTAAAAGTGTATGTTTTATCCATGCTGTTAGCCTTTAAGGTTTTTTTTTTGCTACCATTGCAATCTCTTGTGTACATTTTTACCTGTATGTTGTCCTATCATCCTTTCTTCTTCCAAAGTTCATACCACAATGTCATTTAAAAAATTGTATATTTTTTATCTTCTGTTGCTGTGATTTAGTATCTCTTTTAATCTGTTGCTTTTAATGGCCAGGAAAGTTTTTAAAATTATTTTTTCCTATGCAAAGGTAAAGTAAGTATAAAATAAGAATAGATAGGAAAGGCTGATGTTTTCAGTGTTTGTTCCAAATAAGGTGAGTTGTTTGAATGGGATTGTATTTTCATATTTTTATTTTGATCTAAAAGTAGGCATAGGAAACTTCACATTTGAAAATGAAATTAACAAAGATTACATTTATATTGTTTCTATCATTTCTTCTGTATTGGTCATGACATTTGGTGGTTTACAAACTCAGTAGTCAAGAAATGTATAATAATCTACAGATAAGATTGCTGCTAAAACAAATACACCACTAATTTTTTGTCCCATTCCTTTCTCTGTGTTTTTTTTAGCCTACACCTTGGATGATGTTAACCTCCATGGCTATTTTGTCTATTCTTTCAGTGACAGAGGAGATTCCAGATCATATGGCCTCTATCGTTATGTGATAAACAAGTATGAGGCAAAACCTTCGCTGATGTATTATAGGCAGATAATTGACAATAACATCTTGCCAGGCTCAGAAAGCCTAGATCAGCTCTGCTCCAAAGAGATCCTTCATTGCCCAGAATGTGAATCTTTGCAACCCAGAAAATTTTTATTGGTGTTTATATTATTCATACTCTTTACTTTCATTGTTATTATATTTCTGATGGCTTACTATTCCAAGAAGATTGAGAGACGACCCAAATACCCTTATCCAATTCTTTGCCGCCTTTCACCTGTGTTACTGGGAGAAGTCTGGAAATAATTATGCAGTAGGCTGTGATTACTGTTGCACTGTGTAGGCCACCTAATGCTGTGGTTTCTAAGCCCATAGGTGAATCATGTCCATGGAGTTTGTATGATTCCTCTTGGGATTTGGTTTTAGCATTTTTACTTTTAGCTCCTTAATATTAATTTCATCTCTCTTCACCAATAGTTACTTTGATTCATGAAGGGAGATGGAGGAGCAGAACATTGCCTTTTCTTGCATAATTAGAGATCCTCATGTCATTGTTCATCTGTACAATGCTGATAGAGATCTCTGAGCAGATTGAATCTGTCTCTTGGTGAGGATAGGATTTGAAATGAATAACTTGTACAAATGCTAAGAGGACTGCTTGTTCAGTATGCTGTCAGTGATGCCTTCTTTCAGTACACTCCTTTCTGCTCCCCCTCTTTTTCATTTCCTGTTTCATACTCCAAAACTTGATTCACCTTCTTTGTGCATGAACACGGCTAGTTTTTTTTAATGAGCTAATTTTAGCTCCTGTTCTAGGAACTAGGATTTTATTTCCTAGCTCTCCTATTGTTTCCTGATTATGTATCTATTTAGTCACCGTGAGTGCCTCCCTCCCTATTTAAGCTGGAGGTTTAAAATTAGATTGATGAAGCTATTAATTTAGATATGTCATATTTTTAATAATAAACACTTGGTTATTGAATTCTCAGGATAAAATTAACACCTTCTAAAGTCTTAGATTTTAAGAGCTCAGGGATAGTGCCTCTGAATTTTAGGCAGAAGGCCGCATATTCAATCCATGCACTGTTCATACAGTGTTTGGTCTAAATAAGGCTCAATTATCAGTAAATGTTAAGTCAATAGCTATATTCTTGCTGATTCTTAAAATTGAAAATCAACCTAAAAAAAATCCAGCATACAAGTAAGAATTCTAAAGGCGAGAAAATCATCATCTTAAAACTACATTTTCATCATCTATGAATTGTTAAGCAATTGTGAAGGTACTCAGCTAAGTTTATTTGTGTAAAAAGAGGCAGCCAAGGTAATTCTACAGCTTGTCCTCTTTTTAGTTGCTGATGTGGCTCACACTAGTGGATGAATCTGTTTTATTGGATCTTATATAGGAAAGCTGTAAATAGGGTCAGAGTAAATAAGACAACTGGTAAGCTGTAAAAGCAATATTAGTCAGACAGTAACTGCAAGATTGGATTGTTTTAGGTAAAAAAAATGGAAGTCATGCCCTGATCATTCTCTTGAAATGAGCATATTCAGAAAGGAAGAAAATGGAACTAGCAACCAACAGATTTAAATCACTCCTAGCTTTTATGTTTTTAAAATTTATTTTTTTACTGTTAGGATTTGGTGCTATCTTTACTCTCATTTGCACTCACTCTGTGGAGATAGGTGGTATATAGGTCGACAAACAGATATAGGTAAATAGATGATAGATATGTATAGATAGGGATGACAGACAGCATATGCTCATCCAATCTTTCTCAAATTGGCACCTGCTAATTTTCTGTGACTTCCAAGATTCTCAGCTTGGTTGGCGAAATTGCTGTATCCTAATTGCAGACTGCAATAATAAACAATTTTACAATAATTTGCCCAAATATACATGCATATGATTGTTATAACTGCTCATAATACTTTTGTGTATTCTGTTTTCTAAAAGAGCACTTTAGGTTTTTTTCTGTCCCCACCCCCACCCAGTTTTTGCTGCTTTTGACTTCTTTTTCCCTTCTGTTTAATCTGTCCAATTCTCAGAGACTGCCGGGCAGTTTTCCTGACAAGGTTTTTCAGAAGTTTTTTGCCATTGCCTCTTTCCTAGGGCTCAGTCTTAGCCTAGGACAGGGGTAGACAACCTTGGCTCTTTTATGACTCGTGGACTTCAACTCCCAGAATTCCTGAGCCAGCTGTGCTGGCTCAGGAATTCTGGGAGTTGAAGTCCACGAGTCATAAAAGAGCCAAGGTTGCCTACCCCTGGCCTAGGATCACTTACCTGTTTTGTGCCTAAAGCAGGACTAGAACTCATAGTGTCTCATTTTCTAACCTGATGCCTTAACAATTATATTAAAAAATAGGTTTTGCCAGTTTTGAACATTCTCAGTATCAGATACTTCAAATAATCCTGTTAAATGCATTTTGTTTATATATGTGACAAAAATTGAGAAAGTAGGAATAATCTATGTGACGAAGGATTTAACAAAGAACAGCAATACGACCATTTTTTGCCTCTTGGATGGCATAATACATTTTCCATATTTCATTGCACTTGGGGAATCTAAAATGTGGCTATTGTAGTTTGTGAGCAGATTGCATACAGTATGTTTTCTTAATACAATATATTTAGCTATTTTTTTAAAGAAGGTAAATAATACTTGAGCCCCATCATCCAGTATTGAGTCTATATTGTGTAACCGGGATAAATATGGAGAAACTCTTTTACTTATATAACATATTCTATCCTTTTCATTCCTGACCAAAGCAGCATGCAGTAGTTCACAATACAAATACAAAACAATAATAAATAGAAATATTACACATATAATCTAAAACTATAACTTCCAAAAGTAATAATTGTACACAGACAATTAAAAAAGCACAAATCCAACGCTAAAATAGAATAAAACAGAATCTTAAAATAACTCCTTTAATTAGTGGGTGTGCAAGACAGAAGAGTTTGGATATAACAGTATGTTTTTTCTCTTAAATCAGGAAGTAGTGATCCAGTCTATTGAAAAACTTCACCCAATAATAATAGCAAGTGGAGAACAACACATTATATAAAATGTATTACGATTACAGTGTAAATGTTAATTTGTGTATATGTAAATTACTCCAACAATTGAGGAGAGGGAATGGCCCATTGGTTTTGTTTTGCTTAATTAGAACTTGCTTTGGTTATGCTGCTAAAATCTTTATGTAGTTTGAATTGAAGTGTGGAGAATTGGTTAGCTTTATGTGTATTTAGAATTCTTTTTCCAGTGCTAAAATTGCCCCAGATGGATTTTAGCCTATGTTCATCAGTCCTTGCTGTGATAAAAAAAGTTTAAAAGCTTCAATTTTAAATTATACTTTGGTAGGTAGAAAAAGGTTAATTACTGGAAAAACAAGGACATCTGAGCTATGAAGCTTATTGCCCAGGTTCATAAATCTATTTTTTCCCCAATTGTAAATTGCATACTATTCCCCTCACCCATTATTTATTTAGCAACTGTGAATTTTACACCTCGCTGTGAATGTATCTTGTTCAAATAGTGTCAATGGATAGGGAATGCAAAAGATACTCATTTTAAAGCTTAATGGCTTTTATTATAAAAAAAAAAAATGTAAAGTCATAATCTGAATAGTTTTATCATCAGCATCCATTATTGCTGACTCTGCTTTGAAAATTCTACTTCATTCGTGTCCTTTTTAATTGTGCTAATAATGTCAAGCGCCAAGGAAATCAGGAGATTCAGGCAGTTCAAATGAGTATAAATATTTATTGCAAGCAGAAGTCTCTGAACTACTAACGGTCAAGGGAAATTTGTGGGAGTTAAGGAGAGAAAGAAATTCAAGGTGGGCTGGACTTAGATCTCTTGTGGGCCCACAGGGACTCATGCTGATGATGTGTTTGACCCCCTACCTCGGGCTCAGCTTGGCTATCTTCTACAAATAGTCTGTACATTATTTCTACTTTCCGAAAACCTATAAATGTGATATGACTGTGCAGCTTAGCAAATTACAATTATGTTTGTCTTACTGTATTTTATGAAATGAATTGTAGCAGAGAATATATTTCCAAAGTGAACCAGATATTTGTCTTATTTATTATCTAATAAATTGAATTACAGTACTTTATTGCAGTACCATATCTTTTTAAAAACAATTTGCTTATTATTTTTGATTCAGCTTGTTTAATTTAAAATATTTAGGAATTGATTGTCTTATATGAAGAATTTTAAAGGCTAGGTGAAGTGTTTCCTGATCTGAAATTTTAATGTTTGAAAGTCCCAATCAATTTTGATCCTGCATCCTCTTCAATTTCTAGACATATAACAGAGCCCCTTAAAAGATGGGAAATTATGGGAAATTTCATATAGGTTGAAGGTTCTCTTCAAATATATATTTTGAAATATTTCAGTTGGCCCAGAAGATTAAGATAAATTTTAGACAGCAGTTTGGATTTGAGCAATACCTAAATCTATAGCTCAGTTTATAATCCTGAAGTTCCCTAAAAAGGCCTCCCTGAACTGGATCCCAGAAGATTTAATACTGTGGCTCAGTTTACCTCTGATCTGAATGGGGGATTTTCTGCTTTATATTGGAAAAAAAATGAGAATAAATGAGAGCGTTTTTCTGTGCGCAAATAATAAATACAGATCTCAGTTTTCAAAGTAAAGCTAGAGTTGATGACAAAAAGATAAAGGTGCCTCTACATATTCTACCCTGCCAATATACCAATATTGTGGTTGGGTGAAATCAAGTTGTTTCTAGGAAGAAAATGGCACTCTTAAGAGATAAAAATGAGTACATTCATAAGGTATTTGGGCATACATTAGTTGGTTAGTCAGGACTCAGGACATTCTATCATAAACTTCCTGTGACTGCCTTGTGTTATTTTCCAGCAAAAAAAAAAACCTCCATAACGTTGCTGTGGGAGGAAGAGAGTCAAAAAAATCAAAATAGCCACAAGTGTGTGATCAAAGCGATGTGTCAGGTTCCGACTAATGAAACACTTCAAAGAACTTCCAGGCATTGGTTTCCTAAAACCTTTATTAACAGTGTTACAAATTGACGGCACATCATGGAGGTATGCCAGAATCTGAATTCCTCTTGCTTGCATCTAACTTTTCTTGCTAAACCCCTCCCTTATCTTGCAGTCATAAGTCACATCTTCCAATTAGCCCAATTAGATTCACTTCCATTCCTTTTCCTGGGCTTTCCTTATTATTCTCCCTTTTCTCTGTCATCTGAATTAACTCTAAAAATACCAGACAGTTCTGCATATTTTGTCAAAGCAAGAATATTCAATATTAGCA